CCCCCCCCCCCCCCCCACCAAGGGATTTGTGGTCTGACACAAATCCCTGTTTGGCCGCATGTAAAAAAGCCCAAATCCAGCTTTTCACATGATTGATCCATCAGACAAAAAACTTTAATCTATCTTTTGATTTGTTAATGCTAATTTAGATTACACTATTGTTCATGATATATTTAGCAGTTTCAACTGCTATATTGTTGTTGTTATTAAGTAAAATTGACATTTCCCCTGGGAGATTTTGGTTGGATACTAAATGTAAACACTACTGTGGGTGGGGAAGGACCAGATTAAGATTTGTGTCAGGCTCTACTTGCTACTGTCAATGGGAGATTGATGGCACTCAGTGGTGTTAATCAAACTGCCAAATGTGACTAGTTAACCAGCACGGGTGCTCAATGAGTTAAAGGATAAACAAGTTGCCAGAATGGCAAGTGACTCGCCTAAATGCGGGGCAAACAAGCTGTCTGCATGTTGATATGGAATGAGTAATGTCATAAAAATACAAAAATATAAGCACCAAGAAATTCAGAAAAATTATCTAATGATTTGTACGTATATCTGCAGTAATACGTACGGTATTTCAAATGCAAGGCATATACATTCCAGATGATTTTATTCATCACCAGATAATTTTATTCATCAAGAAGAGAGTGCTGGCACTCAATGGGTAAGGAAAATTGATGTTAGAATACTTGAAATCTAATCAGCTTAACTAATCAGCCTTTCTCACAATCTCACAGCCGATTTTTCAGTTGGGGTATTGCCTCTCCTACGTTTGAGAGTCTCTGCACCACATAATACAACTTTTTAGTATTATAGTTGTCTGGATAATGCATGATAAATTTACAGTTACAACTTTTAAAAGTCGCTAATTTCACGTTGTTTGAATTGTCTAGAATCTGTCACGAAGACAGACAGTACCCCAAAGATGGCGGATTTTGGCCAATTCATATATAATAGTTACTATAAATTATTAAGCAAAATGGCACTTAATTATAATCTTGTGAATAATCAGAATGTATGATTCTGTATGGGGCAGCCATTTACTTTGAATGCACTGAAATTTGGGTACTTATTTCAGCATATAGGTACTA